CTATCTTTAATTAAGGTACTATATAATAATGAATAAATTTTAGGTAAATCTCAAAATGTGGGCACCCGATGTTCAAAATATATCCACAACCGATTTGCAAGAACCATTAAGCACTACACCAATTCTCTCCAACCAACGAGTTTGTAACTCTCATCCCGATGTTCAAAATATATCCACAACCGATTTGCAAGAACCATTAAGTACTACGGCAATGTTTTCCAACCAGCAAGTTTGTTCTTCTCCTTCTGAAACTCAAAATATAGCTGCAACCGATTCGCAAGAACCATTAAGCACTGCACTTATTTTTTCCAATCAAAAAGTTCGCAACTCTTCTTCTGAAGCTAGTAGTACTTCAAATTTCTCTAATCGGCATAATGGTCAAACAATTATCTTAGAACCAGAATCTGAATCAATTAAAGAGTTACATAAGGAGCAATCCCCAAGCCGGGCAAATGCATTTTTAGAAGACGATGAATACAATTATTCAACAAAGCAACCATTTACTCCAAGTAATTATTATTATAATTCTTTTTTTTTATAGCTTCTAATCTTAGTTTTCTTATTTGATGTACTCCTCAAGATGCAACAGTATTCGAGATAGCAACATTCGTTGCAGATCATCCTGTAATGGCCAATATGATACATCAAAGTAAACAAAAAAGATGGGATACGTCTGAAGAGTTTTCACTCAGAGATCCATCATTACCAAATCAAGAACCACGATCAATCAAGGAATCGACTTTAGAGGTATGTATATATGTAGTAATGATTGTTTTTTGCACTATCTTTTACAGATCGTAGCTTACATGTAAATCACTAGATTGTCGTTCGATTGTGCATAAAAAAATGGTTGTTAGTAAAGTGATTTTTAAGAAATCGTATTTAATTAATTCTGTGAATTAGCAATTACAAGCAGGTTGCTTTAAAACTAATTATGTATTCTACTGTAACTTATTCTCTCTATTTAGTCGAGACTCCGTATATGGCTTGAGGAATTGAAATGTTTATTTCTTCGAACTCGGAACCCATCACAAGCAGCATTCGACCAATTGGTATCTGCAGTATTACCAAGTTCTAAACTTGCAGATGATGATTTTCAGCAACTTCTCGAAAAATCCAAGGCAACGTTTAGTGATTTTCGTCATGCTTTTAATAAAGACCTTAAGAATATCGCTCTCGAGTATCTTAACAATTTTAGGTAAACAATATAATAATTAATTACTTCTATTGATATTTATTTATTGATATTTATTTATTTATAGCAATTGCAATGAGGATGTTTTGGATGAAAACAATTTAAACAGATTTGTTGATTACAATGTTACAAAAAAGATTCTGCAAAGGTATCTTGCAAGTACAAGGGAATCAGAATTTGCAGAAATAACTCGGGATATATTGAAAAAATTCGTCCAAGCAGCTTTTAAGTTACATGTTATTCACACTCACAAAGAAATCCAACGCGAGTTCAGTTCCTATAAAAAAGTTCTAGAAGACATCAAACATATGAATTCAATTACGTTATCACTTGATATTCCAACACGTGGAAAGTCGGATATATTAAGAACATGTAATGTATAATAATTGTAAACCATAAATACAATTTCATTACATATAAAAGTTAGGTCCAATTGGATGTATACTTTCTAGAAAGATCATATATAACTTCGTGGTTATGAACATGTTCGCATAATTCAAATAATTCAAAAATCATGTAATGTGACCTTACTCACTTAATGCTGTTAGATGTAATGCTTTTATTGTCGAGATAATGTTTTTTGCATATTGGTTATCATATTTTTTATTAAATTGAACCTCAATAAGTTGTTAACTTGACGGGTGGGAATAAAGAATATTTGTTAACCAAAGTATTTTAAATAAACAATTCGAATTCTACACATTACTATTATGCAACACTTCTCATTTCATTCAAATTGATTTAATGATGAGTTAAAGATTGTTAATGCATCAATTTACTTAAAATGGCCATTCAAGTTCTTTAAGTTCGTGAGCATTTCTATTATTATCACGTAAGGGCGGTATT